TGCCCAACTCCATCAAACCACTGTAGTATCTCCCTGAACTGCATGTACAACACTTTTTGGGGAAGACCTGATGCCTGCCAAAGTTATTCCTTCCCCATGAACTAGCGAGGAGTCAGAATTTCATCCCCTGAATGTGTTGAATTTTGCTTTCTTTATTTCTCTGCAATAACTAACCCCTGCCTTAGCCCTTTCTGGCTGAGGAGTCCAGCTTAAGGCACAGCCCAGAGTAAATCCAGCACCACCAAGAAGTCTGCAAGGATTTCTCTTTTACTAGCTTTGCTAAATCAGGAGATCTGGGAATGACCTGGGTTTATCTTGATTATCTGAGATGGCAGCGGAAGGGAGAGATCAGACAGCGTGTGTTCATTCAGCCAGCACTAAAGGAGCTGCCTTAGCAATTATTATATTCAGCCTTATCTCATAAAGACAGTTTCACCAAAGTTACCAAATCTGCCCATGAAAGCACAGCCTGCTTTTGGATTATTGTTCAAAGGGCCCCGACTGAGGCTGGAAAAGTAATTGAAGCCCAGAGCTGAGGAGGACTCTGGAAAGGCTCAGGTGTGGTCGGTAGAGGGGGTGGGATGGGAGCTGGCAGGATCTGCTGGCGTTGTGCCATGCACTGAGGTGTGCAGGCACTGATCGATCCGCTCGTTGCCTGCCCCACGGGGGCTTTGAGCCTTTTTCTTTTTTTAAGGCCACCATCAGAGGCTAAACTCGCACTCAGAAGCTCTCCAGAGCCGGGGCAAAACCAGCGTCCAGTCATGTTATTCCATGTCATGTAGCTGCTGGGCAGGGGCTGGGAAAAGGCTGTGGGAGCACAGGGGTCAGCTCATGTCCTGCTGCCACGTCCCCACTGCCAGCGGTGGCTCCGCTGCTGCCAGGGCTGCTTTGCTCACTGACACGGCCACTGAGCCGCACGCAAGTGCTCTGCTCCAGCCTCCAGTGTGGCTGAGATGAAAACACAAAGTGATTTGTTCCTGTCGGATGCATCATTGGGATTCCTGAGAAATGTTTCAGCAGTGCTGCTTCTCTTACAGAATAGCTTGGGCTTGTGTATCCCAATCATTTGCTGCCCAAAGAGAGAGGGTCTTGGCTCAACAGCACAGCAGAACAGAGCTCACCCCACCCTGGCCCCGTTGTCCAGCCACAGCTACCCTGCAGAGATGCTGGTGCAGAGCCTGGTGCCTTCCCCCGCTCTTCGTTGCAGCCTCTTCTGCAAGTGTCTGCATTCATTCATCCTCCCCGGGATGTCTACAGCACCCCAGCACCCATGCCTGTGCCCCAGCTGGAGCACCCCAGCACCCACTCCTGTGTTCCAGCTCTCTCCATGTCTGCAGGGGACCATGGTGCGTGGCTCTGCACCATGCTCTGCTGCATTGGATTCTGTCTGAATGGCTCTGCTGCCTTTCTGGTTTCACCACTTTCAACCTGACACTTTAATTGGGATAAATATTGCAGCCTCTTGTGTGACAGAACCTCTCATGTCAGCACTCCATGGGTTCTCACTCCTACCTGCTCCCATTTTGCTCTTCCCCTCCAGCAGCATGTTCACAGGCTACTGAGGGGCTTGGGGACCCAGGCACTGAGCCAGAGCAAAACCTTCATTGACACCCTCATGAAAGGAGAACTATCAGAGTAAAACCCAGCCTGGGAGCTGCAGCATCGGTGCTGGGTGGCTGTAAATCCCTGCAGTGTTCTCAGGGGTAGGAAGGAGCCCTGCTTTCCACCACTGCAATGGAGTCAGGAGCTCTCTAGAGGGTAATTTGGTCCTGGAGGCTGCAGTGATGGGGAGGAACTGGCCCAAGACTGTGCTAGGAATCCCAGCCCCAGTGCTGTCCTGGGAAGCTGCTCATCCTATCTAGAAAACAAACCTGAAACAGAGAAAGGGAAGGGGAAATGATACCTCTCATCTGATGGCAATAGCATCGGATGTGGCTTAGAAAATTTCCATGACCTTTCTACTGAAGTGGCTCTTCGAAGAAGTGCTTCTGGCTGCTTTAGGGTAACCGAGCAGCCCTCGAAATCCCCAGCCAGCAAGTGCCTTTGTAGGCACCTTCCCTGCTCACGTTCCAGCTGCAGCCTCCACCTCTGAACCACTTCTCCCGATCCCCCTCCCAGCCCTGGGGAAGGGTGGGAAGGGCTCACCAGGCAGTGGCAGGGATGCACTTCCCACAGCCCTCCGGTGGGATGCAAAACCCTTGCAGGGTGACTTGGTGTCTGCCTCTCCTGCCTGACGGGTTCTCAGGTGGGCTGGTATCTTCTTAGCTGTATTTCAAAGAGCTCGTTCCTCTGCCATATCGTGGTCCGCTGGCAGATTTTGGGTGCCATCAGCAGTACAGCATCACTGGGAGAGATGGTGTGTCACACCTTGCTGGGGAGCAGCTCCCTCAACCTGGCATCTTTACTCCTGGGCACTTCAGGGATGGGTCTGGGTGGCACAGACTCCAGGACAGATGGAAACAAAGTCCCAGCTCCTCTCATGAATGCAGCCCAGAGCAGCCCAGCATATGGGAACAAACAGGACATATGGGCCACTGGCCCATACTGGTTTAGCCATCCTCAGCATATTTCTCCACTTCAGCATCAGATTTTCCCCATTGAAAAGCAGAACTTATTTCCTCATTAGCCTTTAAACTCTTAAACAGAAAGTGAAAGCTGAATTTAGCCTCTTGAGGACTTTGCCGAAGCCATCCCACTGCTTATGACCTCCTCAGCTGCTGGAGCTGCAGGCAAGGGCAAAGATATGGCTCAGGCTGAGGGAGTTTGGAATGAAGTTGTTGGTGCGGGTCTCCCTGGCCCAGATGAGCAGCTGTATGAGCTGAAGCTGAGGAATGGCACCATGGCAAAGGGCTCCTTCGAAGGCAGCTGGCACCCAGCACAGCCACAGCCAGGGATATACAGCTCCAGGAAACCAGGGCTGAGCCTTCAGCCACCCAGTAAGCAGGATGGGGAAAAAACTCCTGATCTTGACCTGGGTTCTCCTCCCAGGTGACAGCAGGATCTTCTCGTGTTGATGGAGCGGATAAGGGCTCACCAGGTCTGTGCTGACCTTCCAAAACCCATGTCCTCTTCCAGCAGTGATGGAAATGCCTCACGGATATTTTCCTTCTCTACTTTCCCCAAGTGCAGTGGTGGGCAGCAGAGACCAGGGGGCTTGGCTTTGGGGCAGGGCAAAGGCGAAGTTACCCAGAAGGCTGCAGAGGCAGCTCTTCTCCGAAAAGCCTTCTGGCAGAAGCAGAAGAGGGTTTCCAGGCACCCGGGTTTCATAGGGCAGCAAAGAGAGACTGCATGGTTCCTGCTAAAAGCCCACACCAATAGTCTGTGTCAGGAGGAGGTGACAGGGACTCCTGGCCATTTTCCTGAAGAAGAGGATTCCTACTTGTTCTAGCAGAGCATCCTTCAGAGGGTCCCTGAGAGGCCCCCCCCAAGGATGTCCTTGTGATCATCCCCCCAGGGGTGTCCTTGCTGTAGCAAAGGAGCATTGCAGGAGGCAGCTGCTTCTGTCCTGTCACTGCAGCATCTCAGTGGTGTGAGAGCTCTGCCCAGGATGCTGGAGCCCAAGGCCATGCTGGCACCATCCCCCAGCCTGCAGGACCCCTTTGCCCCTGCGTTGCTTGGGCAGATTGACCTGTGCCCCTCAGCTGGCAAGAAACCACATATCTGATTCCTGCACAGGCTGAGGAGAGGGATGTTTCCCCAGCTTGACAGTGAACAGATTACTTTGAGCTCAGATAAATCTGATAAAGAAATTCCTCTGCAGGAGTCCCTCTGTGGGGACTCAGTCTGAAGGGGAGAGGGGACAATGTAGTGTGCCCACAGAGCTGCTCTACTGCTGTCATCCCATTTGGGGGTTCCTGGGGCACGCTGACACTGCTGGGGCTGTGTTAGGAAGGGGAAATGGGAACTGATACTCCAGGCAAGGAAGACGAGGGCGGCTGGGGAGGCGGCTGGAGCCTGGGCTGCCCAGCAGTTCCATGAAGGCTTATCAGCAGAGAGCAGAGTTGCAATCTCCAGCCACTTCTTGTGTGTGAACCTTGCTGCTGTTCACAGTGACTCGGCTCACAGCTCATCACCCGGTTGACTGGGAATGAGTGAGGTTACCTGATGATCAGAAAGGACACTCAGAGCTTCCTCTTGCCATGCCACAGAACAGGGAAGGGACGGGTCAGGGGGTGGTAGCAGCCTCAGCCTCTGGCAGGGCCAGGGGTGTGTGCTTTCTCCTCTTTCCAAGGAACACTGAGCTGTCAGCAAGGCAGCTGCCAGGGAAGCAGCTCTACTTTTTGTGTTTGGGTTTCTGAAACTTTTGGTGGAAACATTTAACCTGGGGAGAAAAGCAGCATTGTCACTCCAAATCCATAGCTATGCCAAAAAAGGTGGTTTGAGGGGGGAGGGAAGTGACGCACTACTGCTTGAGAAAACAAAGGAAAGCAGCCCTGCTCACGCTGGCAGCCGGGTCAGGAGCTGGGGAGCAGCAGTGCAGTGGGGATGGCTGTTCATCCCAGTCCATCATCCCAGTCCACCACAACCGGGAGGGAATCCCAGCAGTCCCAACCAGTCCATTCGCGGGGGCTCACTCCATTCACTCTACCCTGGTCCCCAGACCCCCACTCTGGCCCAGCCCCTCTGCAAAGCCCCCTGAAGCCCTTTGGGGTCTGGGCACAGGGAAGGGGCTACGTTCCTGCTGGGATGGGCACTGCAGTGGAGGAACCTGCTGCAGTCTGGCGTTTTTCTGGGAACCGGTGGCTGTCTCAGAATGAAGTAGAGAGTCTCTCATGAGACACCCCCAGGGTGAGTCATGGTCCCTGGGTGAAGGGGAGGAAGCAACCGCCTTTAAAAAAAGACATCCGGGGTCTGTGGATAAACATTGCCTAAGGGAACAACAGGAGACAGAAGCTTGGGAAACTCCTGGAACACCTCGGGGTGTGTAAACCTGGCTGTGAGCCGCAGGCTGCATGAGGGACTGCGAGGAGAAGTCCACATCCAGAGTGAGAAGCTGGAAGATGAGGATTTTCCTGGTTTGGACCCTTTTCCCAGGTGAGACCCGGGAGCACAGATCAGGCAGTCCCCACCCCATGGGTTCTGGCAAAGCTGCAGAGAGGCTGAGGGGATGGAGCCAGCCCAGAAAGCCCAGGCAGTTATGGCTAGAGCCCAGCTGCCACCACCCTGCTCTCGTGGCCACTGGACTGCTGCTGAGCCTGATCTCTGACATATGCTTGTGTTGCTCTCGTATGAACCTGGGTCGTCAGGCTTTTTGGTCATTTAATAACATGCACACTTGATGGGGGCTATTTTTAACGACTGGGGACATCACATCTCCTCTCATCACCACTCCCTGCGTGCATGGGCACAGCTTCCCTCAGGACAGGATGTCCCTGAGCACCCGGGGCTCAGATCCCTCCAAGTTCCCCACTGCAATGCCGGTATGTGCTTGCAGCTCCTCTCCCTGTCCTCTGCAGGTGGCTGGGCGGTGACAGGCCCTGCGGAACTGGTGGCCGAGCCAGGGGGCTCGCTGGAAGTGTCCTGCAGCTACGAGCCAGGCTATGAGCTCTACTCCAAGTACTGGTGCCGCCCGGGCGCCCTCTGGTTTTGCTGGACCTACATCACGCAAACCGACGGCTCAGAGTCGATGAGGACGCAGGGCATGGTGTCCATCAGGGACAACCACACGGCACACTCGTTCACGGTGACGCTGAGCCACGTCACACCGGGGGACACAGGCTGGTATTACTGTGGGGTGAAGAGGAAACTGGGGTTCAACCTGAGGCACACCACCAAGGTGACGGTCTCCACAGGTAAAGTCGGGGTGTGAGATGGAGCCTGTCACTTGGGTCATGGCACTGGGGAACACAGGGGTTGTCAAAGTGAGAACAAGCTCCTCACAGGCACTGAGACCTGCTGGAGGCTGCCCCAGTGCAGGTTTTGGGGACAGACAGGAGGTTGTATGGAGTTTTATGTAGAGCAGACCCTCTCCCTCACTCCTGTTCAGCATCTTTGCTCCCACAAGCCCTTTTTTGGGGGTTCCCAGTCCTTCCCAGTAAATCCCCCTTTTTCTTCTTCCTCCTCCTCATTGCCCAGAGACCCCATCTCCACCTCATGCACCTCCATGGGCAGAGGCTGCCTGTGCAGGGGGCTGCAGGGGGTCTCCTCTTTGCTCTGACTCCCTGTGCTTTCTTCACATCTGTTTCAACCACAACAGAAGGCAGCAACGTGGGCTCATTCGCCACCGACTCTCTGTGCCTCCCGGGCTGTGGGGAGCTTCCAGTGCTGTGAGTCATGGTGCAAGCTTTGGGCAAGCCCCAGAAATCATCCTCCAGCCTAAGAGACCTTTTCCCTTGCATGCGTCCCCCAGCCCTGTGTCCCCTTTTTTGCAGAAGCCCCAAGATGCATCTGGGGGCAAGCAGGGCAGCTGCTGCAAGCTGGCAGTGCCCCAGTCCCCATCCTCATTATCCAGACTCTACTCAAGTTCTAGCATCATTTCCTTTTCCCTACCCAGGTCCCAGCATGGTGTCATCATCCTGCTGCTCCTCCTGGGTGTGAAGGTGCTCGTGGCACTGGCCCTGGCAGGTAGGGCTGCTTGGGTGAGGTGCAGGCTGAGGAATCACGACCAGGAAAATCTGCAGCTCATCGAGGAGGCCAGCAGCCCCAGGTCACCAAGCTGCCTACCCATCCCGACCACCTCAGAGCCCCAGGGACATTCTCCTGCCCCTTTGCCCCCTACCCTGTTGGGGCTGTGCCATCCATCACAGCCACCCCATACTGGGAGCTGCTCAGGTCTGGGTGCTTCTCGCTCTGTGAAGCCTCAGCCCCTCCTGGCAGCCCCTGTACTGGAGAGGAAGGGGTATGGGGTGCAGAGAGCCTGTGTCTGCTGAGCTGGAGCTGCCAACTGAAGGCAGTTTTGCAATAAAGCCTGGGTATCCTGCAGTTGCTTGTCTGTTTGTCTGCCCTCACTACCCAGGGTGCTGGTGGTTGCCGTTGCTTTTCTGTGGGGCTGTGTGGGGACATGGGGTCACAGGGGGACAAGCAGACACCTTCTCCACTATGGTCTGGTGGAGCCCTGGCACAGGGAGAGGAGTGCTCAGCCCTGCCAGCCCAGTGCAACCAAACGTCCATCTCCAGCTGGGTGACTCTTCTCATTAGTCCTATTATATTCCTGGTTCTGTGTCTCCAAAAAGCCAGCATTACACACTGCAGAAACCCTGCTCTTTATGTGTGGCAGCAGCAGCCAGGTCAGGCAGAGCAGCATGGCCACCTTCACCCCACTGAGCTACACCACATCCCACATTTCACAGCACAGTCAGCTTCCCCGGTCACACCAGAAAGCTTTGGAGGAGAGTTGTTCCTCCTCAGTGCTGTTTAGGGAACTGAAATGCCCAAGGTGCCAGAATCAGGCATGAACCAGGAACTCGCAGCCCACTCCAATCCCACGTGGCAAAACCTCTGCTGCAGATGCAGCAGTTTGGCTGCCTGGGAAGGAGGGAGCGAGCTGGGGAGCCTGGCCATGTGCCCCACACCTCGCTCTCCTTGCTGCTCTGCTGCCTGCGCCTGCCAGCAGCACATGGGGGTCCCAACTCCTTATTTATTGTTTGGTGGCTTTGAAGGGACTCACTGTCCTGGGCCTGGCTGGTGCAACCTCCTGGGTGAACAGCCAGAGCAGGGAAGCTCCAGGACATGGTCACTAGGGGAGTGGGTGAGACCTCCTATCCCTGGAGTCTTCCATCCAGGGACAGGTCTTGACACTGCCAGGTGAGGACAGCTCTGCCCCAGAGCCAACACATGTGGAGGGGATGGAGGTCACAGCTCCAAGGCAGAGCCACAGGGAACCGCAGGACTCCCAGGTTGTTCCCTGCAGGGGAAGGGACCTGGGAGCAACTGCCCAGGGACCACCCAGAGCCCAGCCCGGGTGATGCTCAGGACAGGGACTCTTCACCCACAGAGAGCCTCTGTCAGGGTCCAGGGCTCAGGGGCAGGCACAAGCCAGGGACAGGGACAGCTCAGTCGTGTCTCCAGCAAGGAACACCCCCAGCAGCCCCAGACAGCAGTGCTGTCTCCTCACCTTCGCTAAGGCCGGAGCTGCGGTGGTGTAGGCGGCAGGTCTGGCTGTGAGGCTTCAGTCTGAGCCAAGAGAAATTAATTTGGTGAGAGACAAACCCCCTTGCTTTCTAGCTGGTGGTGAGATATTAGAGGGGGGGGAGGGCGGCTGAATTTATCTCTTAATAGGTACCAATGAGAGCTGTGACTCGACCCCAGCTGCACGAGCAGCCTGTGGCTGGAGGTCTGGTCACATTCAGCAGTAGCCATCAGATGCACGAGTAGCACGGGTTCTTCACACACAACATACAGAGACTTTAAGATTGCTGGTGACAAATACACTAGGGTGAAGACTAGCTATATAGCTCTAAAAAGCAATTGCGATTATAATAATGTCCCAGGGAAAAACACATTTGGCGTAGCTGAAGCCACAAGTCTTGCCCAAAGGTGTCCCCTCTGGGGTGGGGCGAGGAGAACAAAACCCATTGGTCTGTGCCTAGGACTTGGTGCCGAATTCTCATCCCACACATTGGGTCTGAAAAGGGTTGATTCTTCCATCTGCGTTCATTACTGTTGTGCAAAGTGTGTGGCTGTGGCTGTGGGCAGACTGATGTTCCATGGGAAGAGTGTGCCACTGGTAACTGGAGTTCCTCAGGGGTCTCTCCTGGGTCCAGTGCTGCTTAACGTCTTTGCCAGGAACATGGATGGTGGCATTGAGGGCACCCTCAGCAAGTTTGCTGATGACACTAAACTTTGTGGTGTGGTGGACTCACTTGAGGGAAGGCAGCCCATCCAGAGGGACCTTGATAGGCTTGAGAAATAGGCCAATGCAAACTGCATGAGGTCCAACAAGTCAAAGTGCAAGGTCCTGCACCTGGGCCAGGCCAATCCCAGGCACAATTACAAACTGGGTACAGAGGTGGTTGAGAGTAGCCCTGAAGAGAAAGACTTGGGGGTGTTGATAGACAAGAAGCTCAGCGTGAGCCAGCAGTGTGCTCATGCAGCCCAGAAGGGCAACCGCATCCTGGGGTGCATTAAGAGGGGTGTGACCAGCAGATCAAGGGAGGCAATTCTCCCCTTTTACTCTGCTCTTGCGAGACCCCACCTTGAATACTGCGTCCAGTTCTGGTGTCTCCACCATAAGAAGGACATAGATTTGTTGGAACAAGTCCAGAGGAGGCCTCAAAGATGATCCAGGGGCTGAAGCATCTTTGCTCTGAGGATAGGCTGAGGGCACCGGGGTTGTTCAGCCTGGAGAAGAGAAGACTCCAGGAGGACTTTGTAACTGCCTTCTAGTACCTGAAGGGAACCTGCAGGAAGTCTGCAGAGGGACTCTTCACCAGAGTGTGCAGTGACAGGACAAGGGGAAATGGTTTTAAACTGAGGGAGAGCAGGTTTAGACTGGATCTTAGGAAGAAGTTCTTCAGTATGAGGGTGACAATACTCTGGACTAGATTGCCCAGTGCGGCTGCG